GGGTGGGATGTAGGACACACATGGGGCCTACAGCTATATGCTGCAGGGAGAGACCCTGGGGCCCTCTTTACCGTTCAACTCCTCCTCCGACCCGTCGTCCATGCACTGGGACCCAACCGAGTCCTAAATCCCCCCAGATGATCCTCATAAATCTTCTCCAGCTAAACCCCCTCCCGGACCTCCCACTGCCCAAACCTATACTCCTGCACCAACAACTCAGGCTCTTGAGTCCTCAAGGGCAGATCCTATTTCTCCCCCTCCTGCCACTACCCCGGCCCAGGAAATTCTTTTGCAGATGCTAAATTCATCTTATTACTTCCTCAATGCAACCAACCCGAATGCTACCCACTCTTGCTGGCTCTGCTATGGTGTTGCCCCCGCCCCCATATTACGAGGGAACTGCTATACAAGGAACATTCTCCCTCGTGGATTACGCAGAATGCAGATGGCTATCAAATATTTCTCTTACCCTATCTCAGGTAACTAGCATTGAGACCTGTGTTGGCCAGGTCCCACTGACCTATACTAGCCTCTGCAACACCATCCTCCCCCTTAATGTTACAGGGAGGGGGCAGTTCCTCCTGCCTCACAATGACACCTGGTGGACCTGCACCACAGGACTAACAGCCTGTGTAAATCGGGAAGTCCTGCAGAGAACATCTGGTTTCTGTGTTATTATCAGACTCCTGCCTAGAATCACCTACCACACTCATGAAGATTTCTTAACCCTCTATACTAGTCTAAAAGGCCCAAGAACTACCAGCCTCACTAGACTTAGAAGGGAGCCAATAACCACAGTAACCTTAAGTCTCCTCATTGGGACAGGGATTGCTGCTGGGATAGGGACAGGAGCCACAGCCTTGGCAAGACAAGATCAGCATTATTCCCAGCTCAGAGCCAGCTTAGATTCAGATCTCCGATGAGTCGAGGAGTAAATTACTCACCTACAAGACTCCCTGAGCTCACTGGCTGAGCTAGCCCTGCAAAATCATAGGGGATTAGACCTCCTGTTCTTACAGCAGGGTGGTCTATGTGCCACCCTAAGA